CGGAGTCGGAGTCGTGGTAGCAGTAGTGGTAGTGGTAGTAGTAGTAGTAGTAGTAGTAGCAACAGTAGTCGCATACGCATTCGTTGTCGTAATCGTAGTAGCAGTAATAATAGTAGTGGTAGCAGTAGTAGAAGTAGTAATAGTGGTAGTAGTAGTAGCAGTAGCAGTAGCAGTAGCAGTCGTAGTAGTAGTAGTAGTAGTAGTAGTAGTAGTAGTAGTAGTTGTTGTAGTTGTAGTTGTAGTTGTAGTCGTAGTAGTAGTCGTAGTAGCGGTAGTGGTAGTGGTGGCAATCGTAGTTGTAGTAGTCTCAGTGGTTGTTGCGTTTGTATGAGTCGCACAAGAAGTCGTAATAGTAGTAGTAGTAGTAGTAATAGTAGTAGTAGTAGTAGTAGTAGTAGTAGTAGTAGTACGAGTATTAGTAGTAGTAGTAGTAGTAGTAGTAGTAGTAGTAGTAGTAGTGGTAGTGGTGGTGATAGTCGTAGTTGGTATAGTCGTTATCGTCCTAGCAATCGTGGGTGTGGTTGTAATAGTAGTAGTAGTCGTAGTAGTAGTAGTAGTAGTAGTAATGGTAGTAGTAGTAGTAGTAGTAGTAGTAGTAGTAGTAGTAGTAGTAGGGATAGCAGAGCGATCGTAGTAGTAGTGGTAGTTGTTGTTGGACGGCCTACGAATAGTCGTGGCAATTCCTAGTTGCAGCAGCAGCAGTAATGGTAGCAGCATTAGTAATCGTAGGAGTCGCAGATGTAGTAGTAGTTCTACTAGTAGTAGTAGTAGTAGTCGTAGTCGTAGTCGTATAGAACTATTCTAGTAGCAGAAGTAGTAAAAGTAGTAGAAGTAGTCGTAGTAGTATTAGTAGTAGTAGCAGTAGTAGCCGTATCATTCGTAGTAGTAGTAGTAGTAGTAGTAGTAGTAGTAGTAGTAGTAATCGTAGAAGTGGTAGTGGCGACACTCGTAGTCGTATTAGTGGTAATCGTCTAGTAGTAGTAGTAGTAGTAGTAGTAGTAGTAGTAGTAGTAGTGGTAGTAGTAGTAGTAGTAGTCGTCGAATTCGTATGAGTATTAGCAGTAGTAGTCGTAGTTTTAGTAGTTGGTGTTGTGGTCGTCGTAATTGTAATAGCCGTCGTCGTGCTAGTCATAGTAGTAGTAGTAGTAATAGTAGTAGTAGTAGTAGTAGAATTAGTAGTAGTCGTAGTCGTAGTAGTAGTAGTAGTAGTAGCAGTAGTAGTCGTAGTAGTAGTAGGTGTAGGCGTAGTAGTAGTAGTAGTATTAGTAGTGTAGTAGTAGTATAGTAGTAGTAGTAGTAGTAGTAGTAGTAGTAGTAGTTGTAGTAGTAGTAGTAGTCGTAGTAGTAGTAGTAGTAGTAGTAGTAGTAGTGATCGTGGTAGTAGTCGTAGTAGTCGTAGAAGTAGTTGTTATAGCTGTTGTTCTTGCTGTAGCAGGCGTCGTCGGAGTAGTCGTAGCCGTGGTCGTAGGAGTAGTAGTCGTAATCGTAGCAGGACGACAAGGGGAGGACTATGAGGAAGGGGAAGAGGAGGACGACGACGAGGCCACTTACCCTTTCGGTCCCGGGGGCGTCCCGACCCTGCCCAGGACACGAATCGATAACATAAGTGTAGTCAGGCAGCCTGCCGTTGCGGCATGGCCTTGCTTGCCCTGGTCCCTCACTCCTTTCGATTCACTCCTCCAATCTCATGCCCTTGTGGAGCACTTTGCAGCGCAATGAGGAGGACGATGACGATGACGACGACGACGATCGGAGGAGGAGGAGGAAAAGCAGGAGGACGAAGAGGAGGAGGGAGAGGAGAAGCAGACGGGGGAGGGAAGAGAGATGATGGAGCGCAACTTTATTTATTCTTTTCCAGGCACTTCCCATAAGCTGCGAGTAGGTATCCAAATCTATCAATCGCAGGTCTTTGCGAGTCCATAGCCTGGCGCGCGCTCGGCAGTAGCAGATGCCAGTGGGGGGTATCTGTCATTGGAGCTTCCTTTTGGCTGGTTCTAAGCGGCGCCGTCGCGAATCGTGACGTTACCACGGGGGTGCTGCTGGGGCCGCTATTGGCCGCCGTCGCGAAGGATTCGGATAACGGTTCCTGGTAGGCTGAAATTGGGAGAGGCTCCTTCCGCCTCCTCCCTCCTCCTCCTCCTCCTCCCTCCTCCCTCTCCTCCTCCTCCTCCTCCTCCTCCTCCTCTCCTCCTCCTCCTCCACTCCCCTCCTCCTTCTCCTCCTCCTGCCTCCTCCTCCTCCCTTTCCTCCTCCCTCCTCCTCCTCTTCCTCCTCCTCCTCCTCCTCCTCCTCCTTGAGTTCAGCAGGGGCTCTGGCTTCGGGGGGCCTCTCCGTGGCCGGCGCTCGCCGTGGCCAGCTTTCAGGCGCCCCCCGTGGCAACAGGATGGCTGCGGCTCCTGCCTCCGCGCCCTGCTCTCGCTTCCCCCCTCGTCGCCCGCACAGGTGTTTCGGCCCCAGCGGGCGCTGGGACTACCGGTTCGGCAGCAGGAGAGAGACGGAGGCATGCTCCCTGCGTTCCCTTTCTCGTCTTCCTGCTGTTGTCCGTCTTCCTCCTGGACCTCCACCGCTTCGTCCTCCGCGTTCTCAACCTCTTCCTAATGCCCCAGGGCCGGTCAAAGAATTCCGCGCGGGCCGCGGACCTCCTAAAGCTGATATACATGCCAGTGTGTATGTTTCTGAGTCAGGTTTCATCTTTGTCCTTCTCCCTCAAGGCCCTCATGAAACTCACCCCCTGAAGTTCTGAACTGAAGCTCCTTCCCGAAACTCCTCTGCGCATTCCCCCCACTGCTCCTCCTCGTTCTCTCGTCCCTCCCCTCCTCATGGTCCTCGTGTTGCTCCACGCCCTGTGTTCCGTCCCCCTGCGCTCATCCTGAACCGCTTCCAGCTGTGGGTGTCCTCCTCCCTCCCGTCCCTGTCCTCCGCGGCCGCTCCTCCCCCCCGCGCGCCCGCTCCTGCAGCCAGACGACTCGTTGGCCGCGTGCTCCGGGCAACTCGCGCGCCCGCGTGGGCCACCTCTGCCGCGCTGCGACGCAGGGCAGTCCTGCGCCGCCCTTCTCCTCCTGCTGCCCAGAGCGGGGGGGGCACGGAAAGAGCCCCAGGAGGGGAGGACGTGTCTTCCTTCCGCATCCTCTTGTTCGTCCCGCCTCCTCCTCCTCCTTCGCCCCCGCCTCCGCCTCCTCCTCCTCCTCCTCCTCCTCCTCCTCCTCCTCCGCCTCCGCCTCCGGCTCCCCTCCCTCCATCGTCCCTCGGGTCCTCCAGTCAGCGGCGAGCCAGGGGGGGGGGGAAGCGAGAAGGGGCGGGCGGGCCTTCTCAGGAAGGCTCGGGAGCCCCCCGGCTTCCAGAGAAGCTGTCTCAGCCTTCCCCGAAGACGCAGGACGCTTCTCAGAAGGCGCGACGAAGTCCCGCCGCTCCTCCTCGCTTCCCCCCTCTCGCTTGCCGCCGACTCATCCCTTCTGACCATGTGCCTTCACGATCATCCTCCCAGTCCTGCTTCTGGTCCCTGCCTCGCTGCCGCTCCGCTTCGGGCTTCTTGCCGCCCTCCTCTTGCTCTTCGATCCTGCCTGCGTCCTCTTCGATCCCGCTGGTCCTTCTCCTCCTAGGGGCCATGGAGCTCGTCGGGTGCATTCTGCCTTCGTTCCGACCCCCCCCTCCCCTCTCATTCCCCCGCCATTCTTCTACATTTCCCCCCCCCTCCCCCTTAATATGTGGCGGCCTCGAAAAACAACCCTTACCGAGTTATGCGCATTCGGACAAGAAAAGGGGAGCTGCGTACACAGGAGGAGGAGGCGGAGGGGGACGAGGTGGAGGAGGAGGAGGAGGCGGAGGCGGAGATGGAGGAGGAGGAGGAGGAGGAGGAGAAGGCGGAGGCGAAGGCGGAGCACGTGAATTCTTTGAGTCCCACGTCTTTCTCTCGCGCAGCCGGCGAGTGGTCGGGCGGGCTCCCGTTCGATAGTTTGCCGCGTCGGGTGAGCAACCATTCGATGAGGGAGCGTGGGAAAGGATAAGCAGGGGGAGCAGTGAGTGATCATGAGCATGCCGTTGCGCCGACTGTATCATATACATCATATTTTTCCGTGCCGGTTTTTAATTACCGTTTAGAGCTCTCTCCCTCCGTCTTCGGCGTGAAGATTTTCGCGTTTCTTCTTTCGGCGGAGATAACAGCGCTTCCTGTCCAGGCCGGCTCCCTCCAGCGGAGGGCGCAACGCTGCTGCTGCGAAGAGAGATCCTGCTGGCGCGACACAAGGCGAGAACGCTGGCACAAGCTAGCCCTCGACGGGCGCACTTTCTCCTTCCATCTTTCACGATAGTAATATTTTTCAATGGTTGTCGGCATATTTACACGTGCTCAAACGCGCGCTGGAGGCGCGACGCCCCAGGAGCTCTCGACCCCGTCCCTGCCTGGGTCGTTTTTTCTTTTCCTGGGCTCTCGACCCCTCTCTCGGGGTATAGACGTCCGGGGACCTGTCGGGAGGGCTTCCTTTCGATCGGTTCCAGGACCCAGAGCACGTGAGTAGATACAGTGTAACACGAGCTGAACTGCGCACGCTTTGGTTTTTGGCTCAAGGCCAAGCCGAGCGCACCCTGACTGGAAAAGGTACCCGCCTTTCATCCCACATCCTTCTATTCGTTCCACTGCGATCGTCATGTCAGAGGATTTACCGTTAGTCGCTGTGACAAGGGTTATGAGCCCAAGGCCGAATGAAGGATTATTGATTGGTGTACATGCGAGCTGTCAACGATGCCATCTACAAGTGTACGAACCTTTGCTGTGCACCCAGTGCGGCGTGTACGGCCACCCGCACTGCATCAACTTGGAGTATTTCCAGGGGTACCCTTTTCTGTGGTACGTGCATGGCCGGGGTCATACGACAGTACGCTACGTATGATGATGGTCTACGACGGGAGCAGTGGACACGTTCGTTGGCTGAACAGCTGACTACCTGGCGAGGGCGGGCCACAGAAGTACTCGGTCTGTCAGCTTCCGTAGGAGTGGCAATCGAAGGTGTAGCGGCGACCGCTACCGGTGCAGCGTTTTCGCTTGTGCGTGGGGTAGTGCAAGGGGCTAGGGAAGGAACTACCTCTTCAGCGCAACTGGCCTTGCCAGCTCCAGAACCGCCAGCAGAGCCAGCCTCGACTCCTGGACAGCTTACCAACCGCGAGCTTCTCAGGCCGAAGCGAGCCGCCAGGCGAGCCCAGTCCTTCGACCGCGCCGCTGGCGCCGCTGGTGGCCACTGCCTGGCGTGCCACACGGCCAACCCAGGCCACGCTCGCCATCTCCGTTCTGGAGACTGCGTGGGTTTCCCTGGGAGTTCGTTCTACCGCCGACGGGAGGCGCCGACGCCAGGTCTAGCTCAACCACCTCCAGCACTACAAGGACACATTCGGCCGCGGACCTCGGACGACCAAGCGCCTGCCGCGCCAGAGGCAGCTGACGACGCCACAGGGCTTACGCCACCGAGCTCCTACAACAGCGCCTACGACGGCACCGCCCCTGGAGGGACCACAGCGCCAACGACTGGGTACCAGTCGGGAGGGGAGCCTTCCGATAGGGCCCCTGGCCAGGATCCGTCGGGAGCGCCTCCTTCCGATGGGCTTGGCCGGGCTTCTGCTTTTGCTCCGCAGTACGTCCACGAGCTCAGCGACAGGATCCAGAGCTTGACGTCGGTGGTGGAGGGTTTGTCGACTACGGCGAAGAACCTTCAGGAGTCGGTCGACCGCCTCGGGGGCAGGGTGGAGCAGGTCGAGTTCGAACGGGCTTTCTGGCAGTCCGTTCAGGCTCAGGACGAGCACCCCGACAGCAGTACAGCACCGCACCAACCAGAGTACTACCAGCTGAGTGCCAGCGGCACGCCGCGCAGCGCGGCGGGCCAACACAACGATCCCGATCCGAGCGCCGAGTGGTACGACACGCCGGCTGGGGATCAGGCCCTGCGTTTTGGGGCCGGAAACGTGGCCGACGACACTTTGGCCACTGCAAGGGGCCAGGGGGCCCGGCAGCCGCAGCAGCTGCCACCGCAGCCAACCACCGCACCTACGGCGAGGCTCCCGCTGCAGGACGGCGGCTGCGCGACGGCGAGCATACCCCGGAGGGAGGCGAACCTTTCGACGACGTCGGGGGACCCAGGGTTGTGGCCACGACCCGATGTTCCCGGACAGCTACAACAAGTACCACCAGGACTGATTCAGCCGGGTATCACCGACGACCAGGGCATCCTCTCCCGAGGCGCAGGCGCATCGCGCAGCGGAGCGTTGGCCAGTCGTCTGCCTCTGAACCCCCACGGCACGGAGGTCAGTGTCAACCAGGAGAATTTCGTAAGCGGGAGCATTGCTCCATACGTGCAGCCACCCTGGGTGGCAGCTGTGACGCCACAGACGATTCCTCCGAACACTAACGACAGTGACGTGTTTTCTTTCCTGGGAGGTGCACAGCCCGCACGGTCCCTGGGGGGCCACGCAGCAGCAGGGGTAGAGGGCCCATCTGCACCGCAGCTGCAGATCGCGAGTTGTGGAGCGCCGCTTCTGGGAGCACTCGGAGGATTGGCGTTGACACCACCTGAGCTTCTTGGCGGGGATGCGCCCCCGCAGTCTTTGAGCCCGGCGGAGCTGAACATGTTGATGAAGTCTATTCAGGTGTTCGTTCCAGAGTTTCCCAAGTTAGAGATGGGCGATTCTTCTTCCAGAGCAGGTCGACTTCTGAGTTGGCGGATTTCTGTCGACCAGGCCATAAACCCTGCTGGCCCGCATTTGATCCAGTGGTGGAAGTGGTGCCAGCGCCAGGCCGAGAAGGCATATAAGATGTTTCTTAATATGCCGATTCGCCAGCGGGAGGCCGTTCTCCCCGCTGCTCCAATGCCGGAGGCGTGGTTGCAGGTAGAGGCGTGGATCAGGCCACGCATATTCGACGCGCTGCCGAAGGACATCCGCGATTGGGTAAACTTGAGGGCCCGCCAAGGCAAGATGGACCCATCACACGTTCTTCTCTTCTATGTGATGAAGATTTTTTCCCCGGGCGGTGCGGGCGAAAAGGTTCATCTGGTCAACTCAGCATTGAAGACCGAGTGTGTGCTCGCAGCCGCGCGCGGCCCAGGTGGAGCTTTTGAAGTGGAAGGAGAATCTCCGGAGGTGTGCCGAACTGGGCTGCTACCCTCCTGATCTTCTTCTGGCCCACAGAGCGATGGAATCGATCTTTTCTGCGGTGTTCGACAAAGCCGAGCCGCAGCTCAACCATAGATGGGTTAGTCTTCGCAACCAACTTGGCTTGCCTCACGTGATTGCTCTGCGAGCGATAGAATACGTCGCTGCTGTCGCCGAGGCGGAGCTGGGGGCGTCGGTTCTCCATGGGGGCGTAGGTCTTAACACGGGACTGCCTCTCGCTGACAACCAGAAGGCGCGCCGGCGCCAGATCAAGGAAACGGAAAAGAAACGCGCCGCCGCTCTCCGGCAGACAGCGGCGCAACCAACACAACAACCGGCTACTGGGAATGCCGCTGCCGTTCGCTA